GATTGATCTTTCACAAGGACTGACGTGATCTTACGTACGCACTTGTAGGCTCCATCTCAAAGAACTCTTGCTGATTTTGTCTTGCATTTCGGTCGTATTTCACCCATTTCTACCAAATACTTCCCAGTGTATATGTATAAATGACTTCCAGAAGTGTGGACTAACATTCATTTCAAGGGGAATATTTATTCTGAATTATCATACCACAGGACACGAAGGATACTCCTTGGGGCACTGCTAATCAGACTTTTACGTAATCCGTTACAAGTAACGAAATTACTTGTAATCTTTTACATTTATCAGTAATTTAGTAATGGAATAATTACATATTTTCTAGAGTAATTTTGAAGTAATTCCCTTACATTTTTACGTAGCGGATTCCTTTTAATCCGTTACATTTTTTTTTTTGAGGACCCCCCCCCCCCCCCCTTCTAAAGAAAGGGTTGTTTTTATTTTGGTAAAGTCGAGCGCAGTGACACTGTCATGCGAATTGACCAGCGCAAAGGGAGGCTTGTCACTCTTCAGTTCCGCAAAGCCTATTTTCGCAACACCAAGACCCTGAATCTATTTCTTTTTTAGACCCTAACAACAATGTGAAACAATCCAAATAAACATTTCTACAAAAAGAAAAAGAAAAAAAAAGGGGAGGAGGGCAAGTTATATCCGCTTTTTTTTTCGTCCCTTTGTTTTTTCTTTGCGATCGAAGACGGAGAGAGGAGGACACCAAGTGAATGTGTGCCTCTTCGGGAAGCTCTAGGCGGTAAGTGCACAGACAAGAATTAACAATGTCCTTCTCGGTTATAGTCACTACGACCATTTTAATAATGTCATAACACGAGACAACGCTCCGCCTATCCTAAAATTCACTAAAAGAGATGTGATAATATGTGAAGGTGTTATTGCCACAAGCATCCTCGTTCCTGGCTGCACACTTATCATCTCTTAGAAAGCAGGATGTATTTTTTTTTTCTGCATATTTCAGATTACTTGACCCTGTTTTAAAAGCTACTTACTTCTTTGTAGTCCAACTTCTATGGTTGGCCCACTTTATTTGGGAATTCCAGCCAGGTTATCTGAATCCCAGTCACCCTTTTTGTGAGTCAGCGTTTTGCGAGCACTTCGAAAATGGTAGTAGTCTTCTTTCTCTTTCTTCTGTTTTGCTTTTGCCCCAGCAGGACGCATCTTATCTCAAGCAGATATTTTTACAAATAAAACATGATGGTGGCTGACGAAGACTTGATATTCTGGGCTTGGGGAGAGAGTGAAGTTCGTAGCGCGGCTTACTTAGTACTCTGCCCTTCGCTGCCCTTGGCATCAGCGGACGTCTACCTGGAGAACACCGGAGTAAACTGCAGTCGGTTTGTGCTCCGTGCGTGTTTGAACGGTACCAACAAAGGCACACACGGCAAACGTGCGTTTACATTTCTTTGTTTTAACCGACGTTCTAATTAATTGTTGTTATGAGTGTCTTTTTTTTTATTACTTATATTTATATACTGGAAACTTTTTGTTTTATTCATCAACGTTTCAACCGAGGCTCGACCTGTTCAGAACCAAAGGAAGAAGAATATCGAGCCAAACCTTATTTATTATTTAATTATCACCTTACTGTTACAAATATGTTTTGCTATTGTCTGGCAATATATGTCGGTACAGTAAGATGGACATAAATCACTTCTTATTCTAGTTTTGGTTAGATGAATGATGACTTCCACAGGTTCGCGATTTCGACAACGGAGAATTTTAGTAGATCGGTCCGATGACTCCGATAACGATACCCGATACTCCGCCGCCGACTTTACTTTACGCATGCATCATATATGGTTATCGGGGGCATCGGAACGATCTACTAAAACTCTAGAATATCAGACAACGGCTGCAACGACGAAGCATACTCTATCTTTGAGGTGACTAGTACTTCCATTGCTTCTCTGAAGGAGCTCAATGCAAAGCATAAAACATTCGTGAGGAGTAATATGGCACTCCCATCTAGTGCCTCAGTTCAGAGGGTGTTCAGCGTAGCAGTCGACATATTGAGTAAGAAATAACGCAAAATGTCTGACGAGACTTTCGAGAGCCAGCTGTTGCTCAAAATACTCAAGGTCATTAAATGCAACAGGTTGCAACAATAAGAACTTGAATAACTATCTTCCTTTTGTTTCTTACTTGAGGGCAATAATGTTGAAAGTAACGCCACAAAAGTAACGGATTACTTTTTGGGGTAACGGTCAGTTACTTTTATGGGAGGGTAATTGTAATTGTAATAAATTACAATTTAGCCTTGAGTAATTGTTCCTTACTATTTCTCAGTACCGTGCTCAAGTCTGCTGCTAAAAACCTTACAGTGGAGTTATAATACACAATATTTCAGACTGAAAGAACACATAATTAAAAAGTGTACATTTAACACTACCGATAGGTTTCTCTTTAAAGGGTTAACATGGTGTGCACCAAAAGAGTATCTACAGCTCTATTTCTGGGAGTTAAAGCACCCTTCCAACAGAATTGAAGTTTTTCTGCACGAGAGTGGAATTAATTACTCTTTATTTGAAAGTGATTTGATCACCAGCCAAGAGTTGTCACTTAAGGCCCGTTCGCACACTTGCGACCTCTTAAAAGAAAGTGCCTTGGAAGCTCTGAATAACTTTTACGACGAGAGGAAACGCGCCATCTATTGGGTAGCAGTGGAAACTTGGCGGTCCCGCATGTTTTCTTTTTCCTCGCGAGCATTATCCTTTCTTTCTTGGCTCGAAAAACTTTTATCGACGTTATAAACGAGCCTTTCTCTTAAGTATTACGCAGATTTGACCTCGGAAATCCCGCAAAACCTTCGTTCTTGTGAAATTTAGTTCCAGCTAGGGCCACCGTATGGATGGCGCTAGCGTGCTAGTGTGTTCCCTCGTCCTAAGGAACCTTAAGAGGTTTCAGCAGGTCTCGTCTCTCTCGGTCGTACTCAGTTGCAAGTGTGTGAACGGGCCTTTACAGTTCAGCAGAATTGCCACGACGCTCGCTAGATAATGCATATAACCCTTTCTTCAGGAGTTCACGCAAGCCTCACTACAGAGTTGAAAATAACTTTTCTCAAGAGTGGAATTAGCTCTTGATATGCAAGAGTCACTTTAACACTTCGCAAGGGTCTTCCTAGTTACGCAACACTAGTGCTCCCGTGACCCTCACTTGCAGAGTGCATAGAACACCACGTGTAGGGGTTGATGTTGCTCTTCGAAGTGTCGATTGTAGACCTCCTTTCAAAGCCTGACACTTAGTCTAGAAAAGAGTAAGAGAGTGACTCTTTCCAGGGTGTTTATATAGCTATGTAAAAGGGGCTTTAATCAATGTAGTTAATAAAGTTGATGTATCTTTTCCCGAGGGAGTGAAATTAACTCTCGGTATAAATTATCAACTTTTACCACTCATAAGAGTTGTTCCAGTTAAACCTCAAAGAGCCATTGCAACTCTTAGTTTCAGCATAGATACAACACTACTTGTAGGAGTACACACTATTCTTTTAAATGTGCTAAGGTTACCCTTCCGTTCGAAGAGTAATTCCAAATACAGACAAGTGTAACCCTCACTTCGAACAAGGGTGACTTCCAGTTACTCTTTAAAAGTGTAAAGTTTTCACTCAGTTCCCAAGTGTAACGCTTCCTATAGAAAAAAAGGGGAGGGGGATCCTGGGACATGCCAGCTACACTCCAAAAGGAGTTTGTTGTATTTAAATTTTTCGCAAGTTCTATACACACTATTTAGATGGTGCCTCTGTCCACCATTGCGCCCGTGTTGTCAGGGTCGCGTCCCCGTGGCGCTCGACCCCCATGTTGTTTACCGTTGGATAAACAGAGTACGCCATCAGCCACCGACCGTATCGGACGTCTCCTTCCTTCCGGGGCCCCCGGCCCGCCGGTCACCACTTCCGCATGTCAGAACCTCGTCTCTTCCGCAGGCCCACGTAGGCCCTGCGCTCCTTTTATTTTCTCGGGTGACCGCTTTTCTTTTATTCAACATTTTGGCGACGAATTTACTACAAAGTTAACGGCGACACCTTTTTTTTAGGGTGTTGCGGACAATATTCCGTAGCTATGCAGTCAAAGCATGGGCTATCTGCGCGCGTGCGCTTATGCATCTTGAGTGGCCATCAAAGTTGGGCGCGCCCATATTCACTTCACAAATGGCTATCCGAGAGTATAGGAGGTATTCACTGGACGCCATATTTGAGGGCGATGTTTAGAGCGCATGCTCAGAACGAGCTCACATTAATAGCCTGCTAAGACCAGCAAACTTGCTAAATGCACGCTCCAAAAGGACTGCGGAAGCTCGCCGTCAGCACGCGCTCAGCGCAGCGCACACGGATATGGCCGCCAGTGAATACTCCCTATAGTGTGGTAACTGTGGTGCATGGCGTGTACAACAACAGTTAAGGGTGACTCAGCTCCGGTGAAGGGTACCCGTGTGACATAACGCTCCTCTTTAGTGCAGCGCAGTGGCACTGCGATAGAAATAGATAGAGAATGCAGTTGTCCGGCCCCCCTAGAAGACAAGATTACGTCATCATTAGTGGATCGCCGACCGAAGTGGCAAACCCGCTCAAGCTCGACGAGAGTCGCCTGAAAGCGACACACATGTCCGTGATGGCGCCGCCGTCTGCTAGCGCCGGGATCGTTGTGAGACGCTGCAAGGCGCGTTGGCGATGACGCTGATGACGCCAACACCATCCAGAATAATGAAGTCCTCCCGCACGCCCCACTCTTCCTCCCTGGAACGTCATGACCTTCGGTTGGCGCCAACTCGGCAAGTGGACCCGATGCCAAGCAACCTTCGGCGCGTCCATTGGACACCAGGTCCAGCCGAGCTCTGACACAGCACTCGTATCCAGCCTGTGTCTTTGCTCGATCTTGCTCTGATGACGTCAGCATTTCAGTGCAGAGCCTTCGATTATTCTGCGTGGTGTTGGCTAGACAGAGTTGCGTGGATCCAGCTTCAAAGACACCGTCGTATTCAAGTGCGTTTTTTTTTCTTCTTTTTATTATCACTCGACTACGTCCGTCCGCAGAGTGGGTGTTCCTCACTCTCAGTCGGAAGACTCGCAGGCCGCTCGGCAGGCTGCCAAGGTCGCGAACTTGTGACAGAAGTGGGGTCCGGTCACTGGCCGAATGGTCACGCATCGCCCCGTGCGCCGGTCAAACTGGGCGGTCGCAGTCAGGACGTGGTCCGGGTCGGGCGCGCCAGGCCTGTAACACGCTAAAAGGCGGGGATGAAAAAAAAACAAAAAAACATTGGCCCGCAGCGACTGACCGAACACCCACGACTCGTAATATAAACTTGCCCGATCGCCGAAAAAATAAAGAGAAGGTTGGCGCTAAACAGTCGACCTACAGTGTGCTGTCTTACTTCCAAGTATGGTGTCTGGAACGCGTCTCAGACTGGTGTGTTTGCCTCGTCTAAAAAAGTGGTGCCTCGATTTCGGCCTGGTGACGTCATTCAAGTGTCATGCTGTCGCCAATCACGATACTGGCGGCGCCCCAACAGCAGTGGTCGGCAGACGCCTGTTCTTCCGCAGGTCGCTCTCCAGTGTGGCAGCCCACGGAAGCTTCGGTAGCCAGTAGGTGAGACGCCTCGACTATAGCGACACTTGCGCCCCCTCGCTCCTTTCGCCAGCATTTCTACGACCAACCGCAAGGATCGCGACATCCAACAGCAGGGCACTACGGCTTTTGTGACGTCACTCGTTGTCACTTCTGAACCAGTGTCTATGCTTGAGAGGAATAGAACGCAAAACAGTCCAGTCGGAAACGTCATCCAGACACCGTACTTGGGACGCAACGGACCTATCGGGACGAGGCCTGCTTTTTTGTAAGAGTTTGTGATTCTGTTCTGGATAGCGACGGGACAAAAGAGGGAACGCGCCCTTTCGTTTCCAGTCTGCATACTTATTGCGCACGCCCGTTTAACATTAGATTCGTGTATGTTGTGCACGCAAAATTACCCTCATTGAGACGGCGTAGTTCGAAGCCACAGGAGTCCGAACTGTAATCGGGAATGAGCACACGAACTAACCAAACACGAGAGAGTCCAGGGGTGGAACGTAATGCTCAATCACTGGTCTAATTGATTTGGAGAATTGCTCTGGAAAACTAAATATTTATGACCCTCAGACAGGCTTAACAATATTTGAAGGTAGCGAATTGTTGCTCGTTTTAGCCTTCCTTAATAATCGAATAAATCTCAACGAAAAAAAAAAAAAAGAATTTTCAATTTTTCTTTAGAAATTTTTAATTTTTTTTATATTACGCGCAGTTAGGAAATCCCTGCCTCGTTTCAGCGTGAGCCAGAGCGTAGTCAAAGTTCGAGGAAGTCTCAAGAAAGGCACGGAGAGTTATCATATAGCTCGGCAGCCAATCAGATTAGAACCGAAAAGAACGCCGAAGAACGAATCAAGAAGCGTGAATGACACCAGGCGTTTCTGAATTTCCCAGGGGTTATAGGAGATAGACAAACAAAGGGCGAGACTGCGAGGACAGGAGCATTGCCCGGTTCCTCGTCGTATTTTGAGCGATGCTCGAATGGCCTCGTCGCTGGTAGCGTCGGCTGCGCTCTTACTGGAGTAGAGTGTACTAGAAAGTACGAGTGGGACGAGCTACAGGCTCCGCTCATTCTTTCAGTTGCACCTCAAAATGTGGAAAGCGATCAGGTAGAACCAAGCAACTTTGATCGCAGCGCCACCTTCGCTGCGCGCGATCAAGCAACGACACAGGTCAAGATCATGTAAGCAATATAGCCCCTTAGGCCCGCTTCAGACGAGGCAACTTTTCCAGCAATTTTGAGGTTGCTGGCGGGTTGTTCCCTAGTTTTCCCTAGATCGACGCGAATTACTGAGATCGGGTCCGGCTCGAACAAGCGAGCAACTCGGAGCAATTCGAAGACGGTTGAAGCGGCTGCAGCCAATCAGAGACGCGATATTTTCACGTGACACCCCTGTGGTGGTGATGATGACAGCTAAACACTTGGTTCTGGTTTGAAATGGATCGTTTTCGGAAATAAACAGTTTCAGAAAAATGAGTTAGTATTCTCAACGCCGTTCAAAGATATAAGAACGCGTTTTTAGCGCGTAGCTGGGCGTCTAAATAGTGAAAGAAGAATCAAATTTAATGATGATGATGGCAAGTCAAAGCAATTCGGTTGCTATATTGTATTTGTTATGATTTTGGCGTCAGAGCTAACGTCAAAGCACCACGACACGACGACGTGACGTTACGACGACGCCATGACGTCATCGTCGACTACGACGTTACGCGACGCCAAGATGCTGTCGTAAGGCCGTCGTAACATCGCGTCGCGTTGAGTACGACGCCGTTACGCGACATCAAGTCGTCGTTGCATCGCGGTCATGACGTCGCGCACCGCGTTGAAGACGACGTGGACGTGGTCGTCGATGCCGACGTCGACATCCCACGCAGCGTCAAACATCGCTATGACGTCACGTTAACGTCGTCCTGACGTCAACGTCACAACGAAGCCTTGACGGCGTGTAACGTCGTCACCTTCGCCAGCATCAACGCCGACGCGCAGTCACGACAAAGTCTTGACGTCGTGTAACGTCGTCGACGATGACGTCAACGTCGATGTCCTGGAGTCTTCGGGACGTCTTCGTGACGTGGAGTTGCGTCATGTCGACAACGACGTCAACGAACTGACACCAAGCGTCCTTGGGACGTTGCATTGACAAGGACGGCGTCAACTTGACGTCCCGTGACGTTGCCGTCGACGTCATCAACGTCAACGTTGACATCGTCGTCGTTGCCAACGCAATATAACGTCAGAACGCAGTGTTGATGTCTCGTAACGCACGTTGTCAACGTCGATGATGACACTGACGTCAAGGCATCGTCCTGATGTCGCATGACGTTGTGAGAACAAGTCAGGTCGCGGTGACTTTATGTACGTGACGACTAACGTCTAGATTGTATAAAAATATAGTCCGGCGTTCTATTGTTTTTATGACCTTGACCAGAGTGCCGTTCGAGCTTGGCTTTGGAACGAAACGCGTTTTTCATAAAAAAACGGCTAATCCAAACCACTTCGCTCGTAGCGCCCAGGAGGGCGCTACGAGCGAAGTGGTTGGTATTAGCCGGTCTTTTCCACATACGGAGGTACCTAAGTAGCGCTCCGGTGGCCCCACTCGTCCCTTCGAGTACGCTCTATTAGGGCTCAAGTGGGGTGGGAGTATCGCCTTGACATACACGCGCAATGTCGACAGTCCTCGCTTATTCGGAACGAGCAACCCCATGGCGCATCAACGGGGGCGCCTTCCGAAATTTCCTCGATCTTGCTCCAGGGTAAGGGTTTTGAACCTTGGCGTTCCAAAACCTACCCACGTCTAGCGTTTTTCAATCTGTGATGTCACGTTACACGACCCGCCGGAGTATCTCGGATTCATTTGGGTGAGATTTGGAACACAGCCCGCGGGAGACCCCTGAGAACGGCGGAGGTTATGCGTACCTTGAGGGTAGGGGCAGGCGTGCTGGCCGCCGGCACTCGCGCTTCCTGAAAATGAGAATGCACATACGAACACAGATATAGCGGGAAAAGGGTGGTTTTCTGGATCACGCGGGTGGTTCATTTGCCGCGCACGAAGCGTTCACACTCTGTCTTCGAAAACAAGCACTCATTTTGTCACCCTCTCCATAACACTAAAAGCGGCGGCGTACCCTATTCCTTTACCAATAACGGCCAGTAAAAAAGTTTTGAAAAGTTTTTTTTTTTTTTTTTTTTTTTTTTTTTTGTTTCTGTCATCGTCGTCTTTCTCCCTAGTCTCGGGGTTTTAGTTCATCATCAACAATACGTGAAATTGGAATAAAATAATAATTTGTACAGCAACACTTAACGCTAATTGGCAACATTGGCCGGTGGCGACTAATGACTCCCAAAATCCGAGCGAGTTTTGGCATGAGATAGTGTCTATGGCTATTGCATGTCACGTTCTCATTTAAAAACACACCACGAGTCTTAAAACTGCTAATAATTTCGATTACTCTTAAGTTGATGCTGAGAATTTTAGTCACTACCACACGCTTATTTTATGGGCGATTTTTTGTTTGTTTCATCAATGTTGTTTTTGAGTTGCATGTTTTATCCCTCACCTTTTTATATTTGCTTATGTAAAATTAGTGATATGAATAATTTCGTCCCTGCTCTGGGGGAAAAAAAAACTATGCTCGAAACATCCGTGTAGACCACAAAGTTCGCCTGCACATTTGTGTTAATTGTGTTAATCATTCAAGTTGAAATTAGAAAGAAGGGGTTCAAATAGTCTACTTTTCGGAACGCCTGATGTGATATACATTATAGCGGAAGAGAAATAATTAATTCATGCATCTATTGTTTGCGATATTTAGGTAAAACTTTAAAAGAGGCAACGCAAGTTCTCAAAGGCCGGGAATATAATTTTTTTTTTTAATAAGACCCCTGAACTAAGCACTTGAAATACCTTGGTAAATCTTAAAATCATCCCAAGAACAGTTTTTTGCTTTCAAACTTAAAAAAAATATATATATATATATTTTGTTGATTGAGCAAGGCTGTTTTAGTTGAAGAGTTCCTCTTGAAACCAAACTGGAAAGTTCGGGGACCCCATTTATTTAACAAGTGTACTAATCCATGATAATGTTGTTTTTCCAAAGCTTTAGAGAAAACAAGCAATATATATAAAAGCCACACTTCGAAGCGTTGTTGGTGCTTTAAAGCATTTAGCGAGTCGACGTTTCGGCATGAGTGCGGAGGCCTTTTTCAAAACTGTCTGGACTCAGGCCGAAACGTCGACTCATTGAATAACTTAAAACATTAACAACGCTTCAAAGCACAACTTTATTACATTCTATTCTTCGGCATCCTACGCTATATCTCCTACACACACACACACACACACACGCAAACTCCCTTACTCACTCACATGCAGACTCTCACACACGCACGCACACACACACACTCACTCACTTACTCACTCAAACATAGACTTTCGCACACGCACACACATCGATGTGTGTGTGTGTGTTTATTTGCGGGGGTCATATCTACGGGAATAAATACCACCGGCGTTACCAGTTAGATTTACAAAATATTCATTGAACAAAATGACCGTCTTGCGGTTAAATTATGAACTTTATGATGCGAAGCCTCGATGCAATTTGGCACAGAAGCGCCTCTCATCTGTGAACCTAGATGTTTCCACATTACGACAGTGCCATCATTTGCCGACGAAAAGAGGAAAAAGCAGGAACTCTTTACGGGATTTCTTGGCTCTATAGTTCAGCTACTGCGGTACGACTGAAACACCTTTACAGAAGTCGGGTCACGTGCCCTGATGAAACGGTTATATAGCACATTTTATTTTACGGATCGAGATGTTACCCGTGGCTTACGACACTTTTTTATATTTTTGTGGGTTTATATGTTAAGTGACGTTGATATAGCTTAAGAAGCTGCTCTCAAATACGTTGCAACTTCAGCGGCTTCGCGCATAAGCACTGTACCTCAAACAGTAGCTGCAATGTCGCGCCTGTAAGCTTCGAGGCTAACTTTAGCTGTATTTCAGAAAGCCCTAGGTTTGTGTAATCTCTTTTAGGAGTTATAGCAAACTTAACACAAAAAACATATTTGAAGATGGTCACTCCGGTCGCCAACTTACTACTCCGCTGTTCGGACGACCGACGCGAAAATTATTTACGAATAAATCTAATGTTGCTTCGGAATGTGAGGTAATTCTTGTGGGACTATAAATCATATTAACAACTTCGTTCAGGAAAACTAAATTTCTTATTTCTCTTTTCAAAACACTGTCAGCAAACATATGGATATTAAAGTCACCACCCGCAAATGACGTTGTATTGACTTTTCATTTGTGAACACCAAGGAAGACAACAACAACAACAAAAAGAAATGTAAAAAAACCTGTAATGCTACCGTCCGGGAAAGATAATGGAGGGGGTGGGGGGATCTTTAATAAAACGCAAAAATATATGGATTGGTAGGGACAACACTTGTACACCATTCGTGATAAGAGAAAAATCGCTCAGCAATTCACAGGTGATTGCCGTTCAGGGTTTCGTGCTAGCGCTGTTGACGAGCCCCTTTTGTTTTCTGTTTAAATAGTCCGACCAACACGTTAAAACAAAGTCCGTCAAGTTCTAAACTGTGCAATTTTGTCAATGCAGAACAGACCCTAAAATGTAACCTCGAAAGGCATGAATTATGACAGCCTGTCTCCGACAATAATTTTATTCGAGAGAAATCGACAGCTACGCCGCCCGATACTAGCAGTGCTCCATATATAGCAATTGAAGACCCGAGTTCTGAATTACCAAAGTGGTGGCTCCCTAGGTGTCCATAAGTCTTCAAAGGTATTAATCGGCTGAGGTGAGGCAACATTAACGTGAACCAGACCATGTCACCTTACGCTTTCTGGAGGCAATGGAAGTGTCGTTGACTGTCATTTTATGGGCAGTCCAACCAACCATCCTGCGCATCTCACAGAAAACATCACAGATAACCAATCGGTGAGGAGCCTAGTCCTCGCTAACACTCATACACACATAAAAACACAGGCTAAAAAGGTGTGTCTTCCAAGAATAATAAAATTAGACGTTTCAACGTATTTGTATGAAGCTTTTTAAGGCAGGTTACCCGCTCATATTTAAAGTTAAGAATATAAGGGCAAAAATACTCACTGCACGCAACAACGAAACAAATTGCCACCAGAAGAAGCGCCTTGGAAGCGCACGTGACGTTCGCAGCCATTGCTTTTAAGCTTGTCTTTACTGCTGAAGAACGGGACTGACACCAAGCGCTGCGACGCGCGCTCTTTTATATCGCGAAGATCTCATACGGACGCATGAAATGAAAACAAGGAGACATCCTGCACGTGTCGGGCGCATGTTATCTCCTCTCACTGCGTGCACAGCCTTTGTTTTACTTTTCGCCCAAATCAAAGGAAGGGGAAGCCAGACGCCTTGAGTGGAAGTGAATAATCAGTTCGCTGTTCCGCTCTACTGAGAGCGACAAGTTTCCGAAGTGTAGCTGCAAACCTGAGATACCTGCCCTGACAGAAGCCGAAAAGACAGCGGCGGCAGCATTGCAAAACCTGCACTACAGCGCAGCCAATATGCTGCAACAGAAAAGTTTCTTGGTCAGAGGCGTTGCGTGCGATCATACCTTGGTACCAAGCTCGTATAAAGCGAAAAATGTACGAACTTAATAGCGTTGCCCGAAACCTTTGAATTGAACGGCAGTAGCGTAAGAAATAAAAATGAGCGCATCTCGTCGATCCCAATGTAACGATCATTCTTCGCCCTGAAATTTCCCAGCACCTCTATCTTGAAAGTATTTTTCACACGTAATTGTTTCTGGGGGGGGGGGGGGGGGGGGGGGGCTATACCTCAAAAGCAGTTCGCGTGACGCTGCTGGCCGTGACGCTTCTGAGTGACACATGGGGTTGCGCAGCTGGAGTCTTGCAAAGCGTTGGCGGAGGGCAGGGTGGGCGGAGGGGGGGGGGGGGGGGGGGGTCCGTTAAAGCATGAAGTTTTTTTTAAAGGGGCGATGCAACTATTTTCGTACTTCGGGCAAACACCGCTTAGAACGAATCTCTGACGTCAATGACCTATAAAACTCGCGTTCTTGTTTCACATACACGCAATCGAAGTCGCAGAAAAAAAAAAAAATTAGCAGCGTTCACCCCCTCAACTCGCGGCCAGAACGAGCGGCCACGTGATCTGGAGCCGATTATAGACCTTTCCAATGTTTACAAATCCACAGCTCAGCGTGCGATCTCCACAGCTCAGCACGCGCGTGTGCGTCGCTTCGAAAAGCGAGCAAATCACGCGCGATACGCACGAACAATGAAAATGAAACCGGCCAGCAGCCCTTTTCTGGAAAGGTCTATATGCCGCCAATGTTGATCATAGCCACGCGCTGGGGTCGCCAAGGCACAGAACACGTGGCGAGTCCTAGACATTGGTATGGTTCGGCTATTGTCGCCATTGCAGCGATCGGACACGGGCCAATACCCGAATGCTTCTCGAGCTATCGATTATCGCGAGCCCCAATCGTGTGCCCACGCAACGCTCGAATCCAATCTAAGAGCCGCATTCGAATATCGTCACTCGGCGGTACTGCTGCCGCCCAGGTACATCATCAAGTTTTGTGAAGGAGAAATTATATAAAAACTCTCGCTTTTCTCCTTGAAATTACACCGCAACAAAGGAGTTTCTTGGTTACTGGCGTTGCGTGCGAGTGCACTTGGGTCCAACTAGTACCAGCAAGCTCGTGTAGAGTGAAAAATATTCCAATTGAATATGGTTAACGAAGCCTCTAGTCACAAACTTTTGTCCGTCCGTCTGTTCGGTCGAGTGTTTTCCGGTATATTTAGCGGGGAAAGAGCCGTCAAGTCACCTGACCTATTATACTAAACTGATAATGGGAAACTTAATTCACAAAACGACATGAACCTATATAACGACACCAACCTATATTTCAAATATATCAACAAAACTTCACGGCACCCCGCTAAATATGGCGAAAAAATTCATGTATTGTGACCTAAACGCCAATTCCATTTCTCTGCTAAATGTAGCGGAAAAATGGACTTCTAATGACCTATACACTGTGGTCCTGCGGTTACGGGATGGTCATATATTTAAATTCGGTACTTTCAACATTGGTTACGCGTTGTGTATTGCGTTTATGTATATATATATATATATATATATATATATATATATGGCGACATAGGCTGAGGCAAGCCCAACAGTAAGCCAAGCCTGCTCAGGAGGCCACGCGCCTGCCCAAAAGGGCGAAAGAAGAAAAGGAAATAAACACTAGACCGAGGAGCTGCTTCGAAGACAGTCGTCCTTTGGATTCGTCCCGTTGAATATTTCAACTCCGACAAATTGGTGACCCGGACGTGATACTCCTTCACGATTCTTCACCCTCTTCAATTATGGATTTGGCTAACGGTGAATCGCCTGCGGCGGAAGCAATTCCATCGGGATCTTTAGCGGCATTCCAAATCAAGCTGCCGGCATTTTGGGCAAAGAACGCTACGGTTTGGTTTGCGCAGGTTGAGGCGCAATTCCAGCTCCATCACATCACCTCGCAAACAACGAAGTACCTCCATGTAGTCTCGTCGCTGCCAGCAGAGCTTGCCGACGAGCTAGAAGACATCCTCGCAGCTCCGGCCACATCGAACCAGTAAGACCCCGTCAGAGCGCAGCCGACTTCAACATTTGCTCAACATGGAGGAGCTCGGCGATCAACGTCCCTCTCAGCTACTGCGCCGGATGCGGCAACTTATGGGTGACGTGACTACCGACGCCGATACATCGCTCCTCCGTGAGCTATTTTTGCAGCGCTTGCCACACAGCATGGTACCCATCCTGGTAGCGACTGAGGACATGCCCTTGGATCAATTGGCGAACTTGGCAGATCGGGTGAGAGGGTACTCCTCTCCCACAATTTCCGCCACGTCCAGACGCTCAAACAGAGTGGCAAGCCCTCCGTCTCGATCTACAGAAAATAATCTGGAGACTCGACTCAGCCGTTTGGAACAAGCCATTCAAGATCTGCAACTGTCCCGCCGACCAAGGCGCATTTCCCGTCCCCGGGCAAGATCCCGCCGCTCTTCTTCAGACCCTCTTACCTCGAACGCCAGTTTCTGCTGGTATCATCAGACGTTCGGACAAGAAGCGCGCAAGTGTTCTCAGCCTTGCTCATGGCAGGGAAACTAGAAAACCGGGCACTGGCAGCGGCAGGTGATTCCGGGTTACACGAAAGCCGCCTTTTTTATGTGTTGAATCGCGTCACGCGACAACGCTTTCTTGTTGACACCGGCGCAGAAGTCAGCGTCCTGCCTTTATCACCTTCAGAAAAACGCCGGTTGTCCCAGACCTCGCCTCTTCGAGCCGTAAACTGTTCATCCATCGCTACGTATGGTCAACGCTCGCTGACCATCGACTTGGGCCTACGCCGTACGTTCCGACGGATTTTTATTGTTGCGGATATCAGCATTGCAATCCTGGGGGCCGACTTTCTGAGTGACTTCAACCTAAGTGTTGACATGCATTCTCGCCACCTTGTTGACACTATGACCCGGTTGTCCATTCATGGCATCACCTCCCACTACGTTGTGTCCGAAATCCGCCCAGCGCCCCCTACATCCAAGTTTGAGGAGCTCCTGAGTAAATATCCGGACATAACAAAGCCTACAAACTTAAACCAACCAGTCAAGCACGCTGTCACACACCATATTGTGACCAACGGACCTCCAGTATCTGCAAGACCACGTCGTCTCACGAGAGAACGCCTGACCGTGGCCCGACGGGAGTTCGATCATATGCTGCAGCTTGGCATAATTCGCCCGTCTGCGAGCAATTGGTCGTCCCCCCTCCATCTCATCCCAAAAGCAACCGCTGGCGACTGGCGCCCCTGTGGGGACTATCGCGCACTTAATGCCTACACCGTGCCCGACCGGTACCCTCTTCCACATATACAAGATTTTACAGCAAATCTCGCAGGTAAGAGTATTTACAGCAAGATAGATTTGGTCAAGGCTTATCATCAGATACCCGTTGAACCCTCTGACATTCCGAAGACGGCCATCACCACTCCTTTTGGGCTTTTCGAATATGTACGAATGCCATTTGGGTTGCGCAATGCAGCGCACACATTTCAACGCTTTATCAATGAAGTGACAAAAGGCCTCGACTTCGTTTTCGCCTACCTTGACGATCTCCTCGTCGCGAGCACTTCCATGGACGAACATGAACAACATCTCAAGCTCCTTTTCGACCGCCTTCAGTCCTTCGGCTTAATCATCAATCCAGGCAAGTGCGTATTCGGAGCCTCCGCAGTCGACTTTCTTGGCCATCATGTAACCGCCGCCGGTGTCACACCATTGAAGGACAAGGTTCAAGCGGTGCGTAATTTCCCGCAACCTACATCACTGCGCAAGCTCCGCGAGTTCCTTGGCCTTCTCAATTTTCACCGACGCTTCATTCCTGGCTGCGCTCGTATTCTCCACCCCCTCACAAACCTCCTCAGAACAAGAAAAGGTCCCAATACAACCGTGGAGTGGTCAGCCGAAGCAGCGTCTGCTTTCTCGAGCGCGAAGAAAGCCCTGGTTGACGCTACTCTCCTCGTCCACCCCGAAACTGACGCTCCCATACGACTAATTACGATTAATGGCAGATGCCTCAAATATTGCAGTTGGTGCTGTCCTGCAACAATACACTGAGGGAGAACGGCGCCCGCTCGGATTTTTCTCCCAGAAGTTAAAACCAGCTGAGTCAAGGTATAGCACCTTTGGACGCGAATTGCTGGCCATCTTCCTGAGTGTAAAACATTTCCGTCACAACCTGGAAGGCACTACGTTTTACATACTAACAGACCATAAGCCTCTCACCTTCGCATTCAGAAGAAATCACACAAACTACTCCGCTCGTGAGATAAGACAGCTAGGATTTATCTCCGAACTCACTGTTGACATCCGACACGTGCAAGGATCAGAAAATACCGCTTCGGACGCTCTTTCGAGAGTGGAGACCCTCTCCATCCAACCTGTCACAGTGGATTTTCAAGCGATGGCCCAAGCACAACACAACGATCCTGATCTAGTTGCAGAGCGACAAAAAGAATCCTCACTGCAACTTAGAGATATCCTATACCACTTGCCTCATCAACTATCACTTGCGATCTATCAACCAACACACCACGCCCTTACGTACCTCTGCCATTCCGGAGAACAGTATCTGAGGCTCTACACAATGCTAGCCATCCGGGAATTCGCTC